AAGCTAAGTTGCAGAGGCCAAGCTTGCCCTTGGGATCCTCTTACCTCGGCCTCCTGAGTCACTGGGGTTACAGTTTTGCCACTCACTGCACTCAGCCCTGGCTACCTTTTTGACTGATGCGGATTTCTATCGCTGCAAGTTTCCCCACTCTGACTGGTTTTGCCAAGCCACATTGTGGTTTTATTGGCAGAACAGTAGAGTATCTCATTATTAAAAAACATTGGGTTTGTGTGGCTTGTGGAACAAGTTTTATTTCTAACTTTGGTGTTGGTTTTTGTATTTGTGTGGTGTAAGTTAATTTGTTTAATCTAATTAGGTATATGTGACAGCAGAATGCATTTTGATTCAAGGTGCCCAATTGCATCCCAACTTTTCATTTCTCTGCTTGCACACAATGTAGCTGTGGTTTTGTTTGGGGCATAAGCAATGTGACACAGCTTTTGAGGCAATGGATGTTATAAAAGCTGCAGTGTGGGACCCTCTCTATCAAGTATTTTCTCATGTACTGTACATCTGCCCATCTGTTTCTGGACCTCGGCACATCTTTCTCTGCCTTTCTCTTTGCATCACTTCTCTTTTTAACTCTTTGACTCCTTTTATTTCCTTCCTCTGTTTTTTGCCTCCTTTCCCCCACCCTTTCCTCTCCTTTTAGTTGGATTGAGTGCAAATAATTGTATGTTGTCACTAAAACCTATAGAGTTATCTTTCTTTCTCCAAAAGCCCCTAAATCAAGTGGCGTTTTCATGTACGTACCTAATTGATCTTGTTTTCCATCCTTCTGATCCCTGATGGAGTTTTCTGAGAAGGTATATTATATCAACCATATTATTGTCAATACAGTATGCTATGCCCTTCAAAGGTGGTAAGAAATAAACTGGGAAAATGAGAGCAATTTCTGGTGTAGAAAAATGAGACAATAATTTCTGTAAAAAATGTAACATTTAATTAAGCTTCCTGATTTTAAAGTTTTTTTAAAGCATGAAACATATGGCCTCTAAAAAGCATGGAAAAAGAACTGAAAATGTGACAAGCTGGTCAAAGTTTGAATTTCCTTCAAATCTACAAACAAGGCATTTAAATCTTAAAATGATTCAGACCTGTGTCTGGGTTGCTCTTAATCTATTTTTTTTCTTTAAAATAACCAGAACACAGACCTCCAAAGGGCTTTAGACTATGAGTACTTCCAGAATCCTAAACTCAAGAAAGCTTCCAGAGCCAGTACCATACCATTTTGCATTCCAGCACTAAATACAAGAGTTGAAATTCCTTAAGAAAAAGAAAAAGAAAAAAAAAGCTGAAAATTGTTTTGCCCTCGAATATAGTATCACACTTTCTAAGAATTTCTCAACAGCCTATAATTACTGGAAGTCCTCACATTTCATACCAATAATTCAGTATTAGTGGGAAACTCAAAAGACATGAGGAAAGACAGAATTCATTATTAATGAAAGTACCGCAGCCCTTTAAGGGAACACAGTGCACTTAATGCTCAGTTTATTTCATCTCTCCATCAATAAATCCATGCTAATTGTTTATGGCCTTCCTTGGTAGGTTCTCGGGAGAAGATGACAGCTAATTAAACAAAGGCACTTTGGCCTTAATTAAGCCTCCCTTTCCTGTCTGTGTCTTCATGGGCACTACTTTCATGTAAATTAGATATTTCCTGCTTTATTTTTCACTCCCATTACAGAACTGGCTCAGATTATTTCTCTTAAAACATGGTCCAATTAAGTTCCTCTTATCTAATGAAATGCATGTATTCTCCCAAATTTTGTATTTTAACATGAGGGGAATTCATTTAAAAAATGTGAATCGCTCATCATCACTGCTTCCTTGTCCACACAAGACACTGTGCACTTAACCTTCCCCTTCTGAAAGAAGACATCCGAACTTAATACTTGGGAACATCGCATTTGCACAGCAAGCAATGCACTTAGGCTGGTGGAAAAAAACTAACGCTAACAAACTGGTTTACTCAGAAAAAGGTCGATTTACTCCTTAGCTATATTTCTGAACTTGTTAGTGATTCTCCAGAGGTGGGGAGAAGAGAACATTTTCTCTCAAGAGGGTGAATCGCAGCACCAGCAATTCAGGTTCTTCCTGGGCATGGTCCTGCTCCAACCCAAGTGTAGCACTGCGGCTATCTACCAGTGGTGCAGAGAGGGGTGTGTGCGGGGGGCCGGGCAGGTGGCTGAGAACACTGCTCTATACCAAGCAGGGGAGATTGAGTTATGAATCTCCAGGAAATATAAACTAATTGGGTAATACTGATGGGCTCCAACCAGATTGTTAAAAATTATAAAATGAGAATTGCTTTAACAACTATTTAGCATAATGTTTAAGGACAAAATACATATAATATTTTTATATTATATAAATATTAATATATAAGAAAAATATAAAATATAAGTAATATTATTAAAATAAATATTAATATATAATATAAGTAATATAATATATAAGTATTATATCACATACTCAGTAAGAAATGCTTATAATCAATCCAGTAAATTGAAAATAAAATTTGATATCTCTGTATTTGTCAGTTTACAGGATTCTAAAGTGGATGCTGCATACAGAATGGTAAAATTTTCAAAGATAGCCATGTCTTTGGTCAGTCTAGCTAACTGTTGTTCATTGGAAATTTGTGGACCTGTGGCAGGCTCAGATAAAGGAAACATCCAGGGCCCCTGCAACTGAGTTTCTGGGTAGAACCATTCTGGTGGTGGAGTCAGCATGCCATCCTTATTCTAGTATACCTTTCACAGCCTCTATAGGAAGTCCAACAAAGGCTGCAAAATCACCAGCGATTATCAAGGCGAATGCTTGGTATATCAGGGCAAAGGCATATCTCCTTGTGGCATCTCAAATGTGTCCATGATTGGCTGCACCGTTCAGACCACTGGTGGGCACTAATGATCATACAGATACCAGAGAAATCTCACTGCCAGATTCTCTGTCCTACTGACTAAATTCCCCCAAGTTCAGAATTTGGAGATTTTATAGCAAGTGGTATCCTTTTTTCCAAAGATACCTTGTATTATTCATGTTATTGTGAAGCAAATATGAAGCTAGAGGCTGACCATCCACTGAGTATGTAGCAATTCCTCCCCCAGGCGTGCACAAGGACCTGTCACCACTGAGCCCATACTCAGGCATGGGGTCAGTTCATTCAGAGATGGGGACTTTGGGGATGTGATTAAGTTATGAAGACTCTGCCTTCATGAATACAAGTAATGCCTTGATACAGGAAGCTTTGGACTGCTGTTAGGCCCTTTTTCCTCTCTTACACTTCTACCATGTGAGGGCACAAGAAGGCGGTGCCATTTTGGAAGTAGACAGCCAGCCCTCACCACGCACTGAATATGCTGGTGCCTTGATCTTGTTCTTATGAAGCCTCCAGATCTGTGAGAAATATTTTAAATTACCTCATCTGTGCTACTTTTTCTAACAACAAGAACAAACCAGGCAGCATCCCTGCCTCATATAAACTGGGTTGTGTTCTTCCTTGGTCCTCTCATCCCACCCTACACAATACTTCTTGCACGGTTTTGTGGAACTATTATATATCAACTTTTAGACTTGTTGATGTATTCATCTCTCTGCAGTGGCCAGAAGCCCTGTGTATTCATGACTGATCTTACTGTTCAGCATAGTTGTTGCTAACTGTCTTTTCTTTCATTACACAAACTGTATTGAAATAATTTGTGTGCTGAGCTCCTGTGGGCCAGGGGTGAGTATGTTAATTGTTTTTCATCCTGTGTCAATCAGGATTCTTAGCTACAAGGAACATTCTGTATGGATTTAGGTACAAAAGAATTTTGCTGAAAGAAATTGGTAGCTCACTGAATCAGTGGGAAAATTAGAAAATTGGATTTGCAAAGGTAGGGAAAAGAGAAACTAAAAGCAACCAGGGCCAAGGTCAAAATCCTGCCACAAGCAAGGGTGCACCACTCATTGCCTTTCTAGGGCATCACCAACTATTCCTGAAGACAAGAGACCTACCTCTGCCACAAATCTTCCACAGGTGCACTGTCCACACTCCCTCTTTCTGGTCTCTCTGGCTCGAAAGTCAGACTGGGGTGTGTATAGATTCTGACTGACCAAGCCTCAAAGGACCCATTGTCTGTGTTCCAGGGAAGCTGAGAAAATGAGTAGCTGGTGTTTGTGACCTGGGCAAAGAAGTAGGGGAAACCCCTTAAACAATAAGGGAAGCTGAATATTACCAAAAGTAATCTACAGATTTAATGCAATATCCATTGAAATACCAGTGACATTCTTCACAGAAGTAGACAAAAAGTCCTAAAACTTGTATAGAAGAGTGGAGGATTCAGAACAGACAAAGCAACCCTAAGTAATAAGAGCAACGTGGAGGTATCATACCTGCTCTCAAATAATACACAGACCTATAGTAACACATACAGCATGGTATTGGCATAAAAACAGACATGAAGATCAATAGAAGATACAGAGACAAAATCACACAGATGCACTTATCTGATCCATCACAAAGGTGCTACATACACACATTGGAGAAAAGATATCCCTTTTTAAAAATGATGCTGGTAAAATTGGTTATCTAGAAGAATGATACTAGATCTTTCTCACTTTGTGAAAAATCAACTCAAAGTGGATCAAAGACTGAGGAATTAGACCAGAAATGAAACTGATGGAAGAAAACATAGTAGTAACACAACATATTGGTGTAGGCACTGACTTCCTTAATAAGATTCCTAAAGTTTAATACATTGT